ACTTTATTTAAATTGCTTTTAGTTACTGGATCCTGAAGAAACGCTCTCTCATCTGGTATGTACAGCAAAATGACAATAAACTTGATTTAATTTGATTTCTTAGCTACGCAATAAACTGTTAATTTGATGTGTTTGTACGATGTTGTTGCAGCACAAATCACGGCTAGCGAGCGACGTAATTAATAGCTGGAGTAGTGTCCGAAATGATACTTTGCCGAGGTGCTCCCTATATAGTGCACTATATAGTGATCACTATGTAGTGCACTATATAGTGATCACTATATAGTGCACTACATAGGGAGTAGGGAGTGAGTGGGTGATTTCGGACACAGCCCAAGACTTCAGTGGCGGTTAATGACTTCCAACTCACTTTGGCAGTACAAGCCAAAGTCTCCCAGCACAGTTTTCTTCCTGCCGAGTAAGTGATGTATTTAAGCCAATGGAAGGAACCACATAAGTTGTTTGTGGTTTTAAAAAAAAAGCAATAAAACGTGAGCTTATAGAACAATATCTACTGTGCTTCATTCATTATTAATCAATGGACTATTAATTAATAATGCTACTGGCTACTACTAATATTTGAACCCCTTGTCTCAATAACTAGTTTGAAGACTTTTGTTAAGTGTTCTTTTTGTAAATCATGGTCCCATTTGCTAAAAAAAACAGGTCAAATGTGCTTGTTTGCGTTGCATCTCTTATCAGTCACAACTAATAGAACAAAACTAATTCTACGAACATACTGAAGAACTTCAATATGATCTGATGTTTTTGCATATAATATGAATTCATTGACTTTATCAGAGATTATATTTCTGAAGTAATTCAAACATTTCCCCTTGATTTAACAGATGTAGACCATTCTGTTTTAAACATCTACTGCTACTAAGTACAAAGGTTTTATCTCAGACTAAAACAGTGATATCATTTTAACAAGTTAATTCAAGTTTTATATACAATCACAGACGTAGTATCTGGAATCAGGCGTAAATTGAGCTGTGAAGTGCAGATGGATGGTTTTTACATTTCTTATTTAATTTTTAACTCTCGGTGTGTTGATGTTTAACGCTCAGATTCAGTCTTTTGAACTTCTTTGTCGTGCTGTGGTAACACAGTCCAGTCAGGTGGTGGAACAGGCTGGTCGTGCAGTTTGAGTGTTGATCGCTGACCTGGTCATTATGCTCTTGGCTTCGTTCTGTCGTCTGCTCTGGTTTCAAATGTTCTCGTCTCCGTTCAATAGACGTCTCGGCTCATTGACTTGTCACTGTGGTTGAAAGCTCATCAGTGACGTCACGCTCACCTCAGATATGAATTTTTAATCTCATCTTGACACACTTTTACTGCAGACAAGGTTGAAAATACACACGTTATTTAAGCTTAAGAAGTGTGGTTCTTCAGGTTTTAGACAAATGGCCAAATATATCCCTTTTCCACCAAAGAGAACCAGGTGCCACCTCCGTGCTGGTGCTACGGCCAGTGCTTAGTTGGTTCCAATCTAAGAAACGGTTGCTTTTCCATGGGCAAGGAGCCAAGTTAGAGCGACGCCATATGTCACTGCATACGTAGCCGTTTACAGAACAATGCTCGCGCTACACGGAAGTCCACCCAGGACTGCAGACTTTCTTTTTTTTTTTAACCACTTCCCACATTTTCATAAGCAAAACATATGACTTGCTGAACATTTTCTTATCGATAGACGCTACAATTTATGATGTTCCCAGAACGCCCCACACTGCAGGCTGCACTAGCTGCTGTTGGTGGCTGTGGTGCTCTGACAGGTGTGGGAACAAAAATGACTTTAAAAAGAGTAAACTAGGACGTTCTAATGTCAGATTTGTGCAAGATAAAACTGGGGGATTCTTTCTTGTACGGTCTTTTCTATGAGCGGAATAAACAACGCATGTAGCTGTGCTCCGTTTTTCCCGAGAAGACCTCATTGCTAAGCGTTAATACCGCAGTACACCGAAGCTATAGACGTCCTGTTTTCCACCACCGTGGTGCTGCTGGTGGGACACAGTTGTACCGGCTTTCAGTGCGCAACAGTTTGTGTAAAACTTCCGTGTGTCCCTGGACTCATTCCAATACATCTGCGATCGGACCAGAGACATTCTGGTGAAAAACAACACAAATCACCGTTTGTGTGTCCCATTCATCGGTCTCAGTGGTCATGCTAACCTCGCCCCCAGCCCCTGACGTACTCGGTGCTTAGCTCTGGCCCAGCAAAGAGTTGGTGCCTGAAAAGCACCAGTTTTCAGAGCCTAGAGCTGGTGCTTAGGTGGTGGAAACACAAAGAACTGGTGCGAAGTCAGGCACCGGCTCCGAACCAGCACTGGAACCAGTTTGGTGGAAAAAGGGTAGTAGAGTTTGTGAGGCTTCTGTAGTTGTTGTCTTCTGTCCAATAGATGCTGTATTGATTAGCCTCAGTAAACACAGCATGTAGCACAATCTCAGGCTTTGAACAACTTGTAGAAGCTGCTGTTAAAAAGACAGTATGCCTTCAGTGTTTGAAGAGTCGCTGTGAACTAAAACCAAAGCTGACAGAGCTGCAGCAGAACATCCCCTCAGTGGTTTAATTTAATATCATGTCCACGTCAGACTGGTGTGTTTTGTCAAATGCCTTCGACACCGCAGTGAGTTTCAGCTTAGACAGTCATTCGTCTCTGCCCTTTAGGACAGAGGTGACAGTATGTATCAAATGTGTTTAACATGCAGGATCTAGCTGTATAAAGAAGCTTGATTCTATTAAAGGGTTGCATAAGCAGTTCAGTATTCAGTATTTACTTCTCGAGTTGTTTCCAACAATCTCCGGCTTCTGCCCGCTTCGTGTGATTGTGCAATTCACAGTATAACTTCCTGGTTAAAAAAAACCCACTTCCATTGCAGCCGTTGTGTTGTGTTGCGGCTAATTTCGTTGTGTTGTGGTTAATTTGGTTGTGTTGCAGCTAATTTTGTAGTGTTGTGGCTTTTGTTTTGTTGTGACACCGTATGTCAGGCCCAGAAGACCAAGACATCAGAGAATACAAAAAACTGAAAGAGTCCTGATGTCTGTGCAGAACTGGCGACATGTTAAAACATGCGTAGATGATGGATGGATGGATGTTTTTGATGGATTTTTGTATTGCTTTTTAAAAATTTTTTACATGTTGCACAATTGCTCAAAGCAGTGGTGAGGTCATCTGCAGCTGGGAGTTCAACAAGTGTTTAGTCATGATGGTTTCCACATCTGTGGTGCTTTTCAACTCCAAACTACTCAGATTTTATTTATTTATTTGCTAAACTGGTTTGTTGAGAAAGGTTCAAGTTTAGATGAAGCAAAGTGTCGGAGCCATTTGTGTTTATTGTTGGCATGTAATTTAATATGGATTACTTGGACGCATGGTGGCGGTAATTGGACACTGGGTGTATATGTAGAGGGCACAGGTGACAGGAAGAGGAAGGCACAGGTAGAGGGAGAGCCAACAGTACTCACCAGACCAGCATCAGACCAACACAGATATAAACCAAATTCACCACAGGGAAACCACTGTGTTATCATTTGTTGCATATCATCAAATAAACCATCCACTAAACGGCAAGTATACAGACTAGAAGTTCTATTTTTGTTCTGCGTCGGTTCACTCTGCTCCACCTGCGCAGTAAAGGCAATTAAAGAATATTAGGGCATTGAAAAATTGCCATTACACAAAGTCTTCTCATACATTTTATTATTTTTATTTGCAGAGAGATCAAGTAAAAGCTTCCTGCAGGATTTGTTCAAAATAAGTTAAATATGGTCGTTAACTACCTGTTATAGTTACAAAAGGCCTCAAAATGTCTAATTCTTTCCTTCAACAGTATATTTAATAATTAGAAGTGACAATAAGCACGTGTTCATCCACCTGTTTGTGCACATTTTCATTTGAAGATAAAAAGTCTAAATGCAAAGCATAAAAGGAACAATGCATGTACTGATAATAAGCTACATGTGACTAATTACAATGGAAACACCAGGAAACGTGACTCTGTTTGTCACTGAAGAGACCAAACCAGCAGATCTTTATGTCTCCATGAGGACACTGTTGTTGATGTAGTTTCTCCACATGTCCAGGAGTTTCACAGTGTTGCTCTTAATTGCACCTTTTCTTCTGCAGTGAATTCACTTGTTGACAAAACCTGGATTTTTGCATGTTTTTGGTTAAAATTTAAAGTAAATGTTGACGAAATGAGCAAAATCACCACTGTAACAAGCCCCTCGAGAATCACTTGATTTCTATTCACAGTTGCAGCTTCATTTGTGAACCATCTGTGTAGACTAAGAAGAAGGAGAGAGAAAAGTCAGTTTCTGTTTTCTTCAGAATGAGCTGTATCTCACCTCCTGTCTGTGTTCCAGGTGGCAGCTCAGGCTGTGCTGTTCATGTGCATGAACACTGCTGGGATCTTCATCAGCTACCTGTCGGACCGGGCTCAGCGCCAGGCCTTCCTCGAGACGCGACGCTGCATCGAAGCTCGACTGCGACTCGAGACGGAGAACCAGAGACAGGTGAGTCCGAAAGCAACAAGCGGCTGAAACAAGGTCAAAGCTGAGTCTGGTGTCTGTTGCAGCTGCTATAGGTGGTTGTTCATGCTTTATCTGATGCGTTGTTTTAAAGAAATGTGTCTTTTGTTGTGGCTTAGTTTGATTTTCTGCTGGTTTTGTGGTGACAGATGTTCGTGCATGTTCACAAGAGCTTCCACCACGGACAGTGGAGCACATGTAGAGTGTTTGCCAGCGATGTTGGTCACAGCTTTGGTTTTACCTAAAATAGCTCAACTGTTATGTCAATACGACAACGTTTTGGACAGATTCATGGTCCCTGGAGGATGAATCCTGTTGACTCTCTGATCCCTGTGGCTTGGTTGTCTGTCTCTAAGTGTAGCCCTGCAATAGACTGGTGACCTGTCCAGGTGTCCCCTGCCTTCACCCTGAGTCAGCTGGGATAGACTCCAGCCCCCAGAGACCCTAGTGAGGACTAAGCGGTGTATACATAATGGATGGATGGATGGAAAGCATCGTCTCATCTGAGGAAGCCAGCATAGTGTCAATATCCAAAACAAAACTCTAGACAGATTTCAGATAAGTTGACAGTCATTTTATCCTCTGTAACACTGATCACAAGGTTAAATTCATCTGTTAACATTAAAAAACATGTTCCATCAATGTGTAGTAACATTGAAATAGTAAAATTAGGGCTTTTTTTTTTCAGCATTAAAGCATGAGCTAAGACTAATTCATGCTTTTGGCTGTTTTAATCATGAGACACTTTGTTGATGGAAAGTGCATTTAAATGACTATTTAACATGGTTTATATGCTGAGGAGAAGCTTGTGATGATGTGATCCATCATCATTTCAAGGGTTTGTGCTACAATCAGGCTGCAGGAACCACTACACCCTGGTTTCAAACAAAGCTGTCAGTGTTCAGCTCAACGCTGTGCCTTTGACTTGCAGGGCTTCATCAATTATACTTAAGTTACTGCAGATCATTCTGTGGAGGTCCGATGGAGGAACTGATAGATTTTTCATGGAATGACCTGATTGCAGATGTTTTCCTGTTGAATCTGAACACAACAAACATGCAAGCGTGCTTACAGATATTAGCAGTGACCTCCAGATGACCTTCATCAACCACTACGGCTCAAAAAACAGTCATGTGTTGCAGAATCACGTGTGAAAGATGCATTTTCACCTCCTGTGTGAGGCTCAGCGTGAGGAGGCTTTGATAAAAGAAGCAAAACAGCTGATGGATTTCAGTTAACAGGAGCGAACGTTAGCAGCTCGGCTAATGAGTCCTCTGGGAGGAGAACATGGCCCTTGCATCGATCCAGCGCTGTCCCACACATGAACTCACATCTAACAAGAAAACACACAGTCTGAGTCACAAGGACACAGTAAATACACAAACACACAGCAGCTATTAGACTGTGACAGATAGTGTTTACTGGAGTGGACAGCAAAGCTCTGAGAAGCCACAGAAAGCTTTTACGGCGCTCGTGTTTCCTGGAAGGCTTTCGGCTCCGATAAGCTCCGAGATGGCTGTAATGGAGTAAAGCGAGGCCCCGCCCCCAAGCAGAATGCCTTAATGTCAGCCAATCAGAGGCCGGTGTTTCTGTAAATAAGAACACGATGGCACGTTTCTGTCCTCACAACAACAAGACAAGATAAACTCCTTCTCTGCTGGAGTCTGACTGCGATGTGGAGGCGTCATGTGGGTCGGACCTGCAGGCAGAAAGCAGCAAAAGGATTCACAATTTCATGCTTTTTATTTTAAAATGGATCAAATGAGTACATGTGATGTGAGAAAAGGTCTCTGATTAGGCAGATTTCCACTGCAGAACGACACGAGGCGGTGCAAACATTTACAAAAACAAACCCTAATCGGCTGTTTCAGGCTTTTAAAAGACTTTTAGTCAAATCAAATCAAATTGAATTTATTCATACAGCACGTTTTAAAACACCCCAAGTTAACCAAAGTGTTGCACATGTTTTCACATAGGCAGCACAAAAATAGACTAACCCTCACCTCAGTCGAGGCAGATGTCTGCCCTCCCTGAGCCTGATTCTGTCGGTTGTCTCTTCTGTTTATTAGCGTTGGTTTGTTTGGTTTTTGGTGGTTGTTTTTTGGTTCCTTCTCACTGTCACCAAGTGCCACTCAAAAGGAATCCAAAAGGAAACTCTGGATTTGTTGGGTTCATCTTAATACATGAAACGCTATGACATGACATATGTTGAGAATCAGCTGCTATACAAATAAAATTGAACGGAACTGACAATATAAAGATAAAACCAAAGTGATGCTTGCAGCTGTAGAAATGTTGGCCACTCGATTAGTCGACACCATCTTGGTCTAAACTTAAATGATTAAAATGTCATTGCCAAGATGTTTTTTTTTTGTTTTTTTTTTAACATACGTTCATGGTCCATGGAGTCCTGACTTCACTAGCTGTTTCAGGACATGACATTTATGCAAAGTGCAACAAAACTGAGACCAAACAGCACTTTCTGGACGTAACTCCAGTTCTATGAGCACATAGGAGACAACAACATGTTGTGTTTGTCTATATGGTGAATTTTACTTTGTTGACGATGTTTGAGATGCAAAGAAAGGACATGGACATCACAAAGGCAGGAAAATGGCGCATGTTGAGTTTAACCAGACCAAGACCTGAACAATAGTGTTTCAGGGCTGCTCAGAAGTACCTAGTCTGGATTAGGTTGTTTTTTCCTCCCTAAAAATCTGCCCCAAGAGGTTCTACAGTGGAGGTTCTTGCAGTTGGAACACGCTTAAAATTTCAAGTCGTCCTCAGATGATCCACTAGTTCCTGCAGTGGAAAACAGCTTTGTTCTACATTTTGTTTTGGTGACACTGGACAGACAAACTGATCAGATTAATGGAGTTTTGAGAGTCAAACAGCAGTTTTTCAGGGCTGATCTCAAATAGGTGCATGGACAAGTTTCCTTTCCCCCTGCAAGTTTGTGCAGTGGAAAACAGCTTATTAAAAGTGCAGGTTCAGTCACTTCTACGAAGCATATTAGCATATTTTAGGCTCTTGTTTCGGTTTTACAACCCACAAAGGCAATCTCAGTTATTTCATCAAACAAAACCTCAATAGTTCAACTTATTCGTACCTGTTGGGGCTCAAACAGCAGTCAGAGCTGGAGACAAGCTGCTGGAGAAAGTGAAGCATCCAGCAGCCAGATGTTTTTCTTTGCTGTTGATGCAGACCTGAAAAAGGACTAAAAGAGAACCAATACTGGACCTAGACTGGACTTAGCTTCTGTTTAAAGTTCCACAGTTCAGGCCTACAGTGTTTTAGAGCCACTAACCTCTGGAACAAGCTCAGTCAGTCCTTCAGTTTAGAAAGCTTTAAAAACCCAGACTGGCATTTGTACAACCGTATATTGTTTTTTTATTGTTTTGTTTTTGCTCTTTTTATCGTTTATTGTCTTCTTTGGTTTGTTTTATTGTGGCTTTCTAAGCGCACCACTAGTTTCTGGCTCAATATCTTATTACTATTGATCCCACTTGCATTTTTTTTTTGTCAGCAATAACAGAAATAAATAAGTCTGTTGAGTATAAATAAGCTTCCAAAGATTGCTTTTACTCTATGTCTCATGGATCTGCACATATTCTGAATACCTCAGCCTCACTGAGTTTCTGTTGGTTCTGTTGTTCTACCAGATCGAGGTTGGTCGGCAGCATCATCAGTCTTGGGGTTTCTTCTCTGTAGTTGAGTGAAAGTAGAATGGTGAACATCTAGGCCACGTTTACACATAGCCGAGTATTTACAAAAACTGATCTATGTTTTCAATAATAACATTGTTCACACCAGATCGTTTTTAAAAAAAAAAATCTTTGTTTACAGAAACCCAGATAAACACGTCGTTAAGAGCTGCTATGAGCCAAACCTATAGGGGGCAGTGTAACAAGAAGCATTAATCCATGCTAGCCAATCAGAATCCTGGAAAAAACACAACACTGAATGGCATAAATTACTTCCTGTTTTTTCAACGATAATAGCGCAAGGCTTGTTTGTTTGGACCAACAGAGAAGTGGAGCTATTTCTAAATGTGGTGTTGGAGTACAAAACAAGTAAAGTACTTGAAAATATGGACTTTCTAGCACAGTAGCCAAACTGTAAACATATGACGCTGATGATGCTTTTGTTGCATACTGTGACGTCGAACTCCGTCTCCTCCTGTCTACATGCAAACGTAAAGACGGAGTTTTTCCAAATCTACACTTGGGCCAGAGTTTGCAAATATGATCATTTTCAGTGACTTGTTGCTTCGTTTACGTGTAAACCAAAGGACCAAACGCATTGAAATATCACTGTGTTTGCTACATGTAAACGGGGCCTTAAACTTACAGTTATTCATCTGCAGCTAAAGCTTTTAACATTCCTCTGACCTGTGTCTTTGTGTTTGGCGAAAATGTGACGAGTTGATTGTTGGTTTTTCTGTTTTTTTATTGGGCTAAAGGTGGGACCATTTATAGACGTGGTCAGTGACCTGATCTTTATTTAGCCTCCAAAGCTCACTGAGCACATGGCAGGGTTTGGTTTTTATTGGAGCAACAGAGTCACTGAGGCATAACCATGATCGCCATCATTATTTTTCACTTCAGTGCATAAATTATATAGATTTCTCGTTTCTAAATTATGCAATAATCCTGTCATCCAAAATAAGTTGTGTTTTTCTTTATTCCGTGTGTTTGTATTTGGATGTTTTGTAAAACACCTTGTAGCTCAACCAAGTTTTGAAAGGCGCCATAGAAATAAAGTTTATTAATATTATAGATTCAACAAAATGGGATGATCCTGTTGCTTTGTGTCTGCTAGATGAGTAAACATGCTAATCTCCTCTCTGGTCATCGATTCCCCCCCTAAAACTTTGTCTCTGCGTATCAAAATCACATATTTACAAGTTGTTTTTTTTTCTATGGAAATCATCTCTTCCTATTTCAAAATGGCTAAATCAACACAGTGCTTCATCTAGAATGTGC